GAGCTGACATTTACTAATGACAGCTGTTGCCATGCATCAGATCTAATGAGCTGCTTAAGGTCTGAAACCTTGTAAAAAGAATCTGAGACTTTGGAATTCTTAGGGTGCCCAAACTTTTGCAGAGTGCCATAATAATGTTTATATTTTTTATCTTTGTTCAATTTATGATATAGAAAGTAACTATGCATCAATGTTTGGTGAAAATATTGTGCATTTTTTCCATTTCTTGTTTACATCTTTTCCATAAAAAAAATGACCAAAATATGTTATTTATCGAGGGGTGCCCAAACTTTTGCATACTACTGCAGAAAGTCCTTAGCAGCATTTCTTATTCTCCAAAGGACCTTCCTTGGGGAAGACAGCTGGCCCTGGCCTTTCCACTACAGGGCACCATGACTACAGCCCAGCCTAGTCAGTCATCCAGGTGTCCCCTAGGTCTAGGTTCTTGTAGGTCTGCAGCAGCTCAAAGATCTCGGAATGAGGCAGAGTTTGTGCTCCAATTTTCTGTAGCTGACATTATTTTGAGCTGGGCCATAAATAAAAATTCTAGGCAGGGAGGCATTTTATAGCAGGTCACTCTGTCTCAGATTGTCACACTGTGAAAATCCTACAGGCACAAAACTTCCATGTGTTACTGATATTTTCCCCTTATTTATGCTGCAGAAATTAATTTGAGGTGGGCCATAAGGAAATATAAATGAAATGTATATTAACACTTTTGCTAAATCAGGGTACTCTCTGCAATACATTCTTTAAACATCAGTTTTGGCGTAAACAACAATTATGGTGTAGTAATGGTAGACATAGATTTCAAAACTTGTCAGAAAAACACTACAAAGAATTTGTTTATTTGTTTGTTTGTTTATTTATTTGCTGCGACAACTGTGAGCAGTGGTTTCATGCAAGCTGTGTTCAACATCCTCCAGTGGACAAAGATTACTTGTGCTGAGCTAATATTGGCCTGCTGCAAGGCATTAGGGTGCAATGCCCCCCCATGGTGAATCTCATGACCCACCCCCGTCTTCTTCCAACCCCCTTCCCCATTCCCAATCAATATTTCCAGTGAAAATTTTTGCCCCCCCCCATGAAAGCTGTGCAAACTTTTAAATACTGTAGTGCAACATAGTATCAACACAGCTGCTTCTTAGTAGTGGAACATACTTTTTTTTTTTTGGTTGTTGCTAGTCTGGACGATGTAGGGAAAATATCTAATCTCGATTTTTCAGCCAGATATTGCGATTTGATTTGCAATATTTTCAAGCTTCAGTTTAATATTCAGCATGTGATATATTTCAAACATATGACACAGCATTACTACATTAGATACTATCAAAATATTAACTGGTCTATATTCTAATGTAAGGATGAGAACTTCAACATGTGAATTGCTTCCAACATGTATTTATTACTTTTTATAACCCTTGTGTACATACCCCAGGTCCTTAATGATCCGGTATGTACTGTACGTATTTAAATATCAAACCACAGGTAACCATAACTGTGCAAAGTTTTAGAATTAGAATTTAGTGATCAATTGTCATTGTTGACACACAGCAACAAAATGTGTCCTCTGCATTTAACCCATATGTGACAATGTGATATAGCAGGGGGCAGCTAATTCAGCGCCCGGGGAGCAGAGCTTCGGGGCGGTACCTCGCTCAGGATACCTCAGTGGTGCCTTGCTGGTCAGGGATTCGAACTTGCAATCTTTCAATTACAAGTTTGCATCCCTAACCATTAAGCCACCACTGCCACCATTGAATACCTCATTCCTGAACATTAAGAACAGTTTCTAATCAAACTGAACTTTTTACATATGATTCGGTGTGGACACTGTTTCCAGATTATGCCACACACTCTTCATCCGCAACAATTTATTACAATTTAAAGCAGAATAGATTAAAATAAATGTCATTCATTTGACAAAAAAAGTTCCAGGGCTAGCGACCGGAATGTGGTAAAGTGATTGTATTTTTACATATGCATTTTAAATGCTGCGTTTGCAAACAGGCCTGGATAGCTTTTTTACCCCTAGAAATGTGTTTCCTGAAAGTCCTATGTATGCGCAGATTAAATTAGCAGAGAACAGTCAAACATAAAACACTATCGCATAAGCGGTGATTGTGTTAAGTTAAGTAAAGTAATAATAATAAAAAGAAAACAATTCCAGTAAGAAAAGAAACGATAAGGATCCTGCGGCTGCATGGACCCCTAATAATTATGGAGTGATTATTATCAGAATTAGAAGAACAACATCCAGCATGGGAGGTATTTCCTGCAAAAAAAGAAAATGATGAAAATACAATCTCCACTTTACCATTTAGTTTTCAAATTGTTATGTGCAAAAATCCTGCACATAACAATTTGAAAAATAAAATGAAATAACCCTACTTCTTTTTAGTTAACTATTTGTTTTGTTTTTTTGTATTTTAAATGTGATTTTTGTGTTTTTGTAATGTATTCTTCTATCTTTGTAAAGCACTTTGAATTGCCTTGCATCTGAAATGTGCTATACAAATAAACTTGCCTTGCCATTTTCATTTTAACTTTCCTAGCAAGGATCTTAGCCGGCACTGGAAGCAGTGTTATCCCCCTGTAGTTGCTGCAATCCAGGCGATCACCCTTCCCTTTCCAGATAGTGACTACAAGTCCCATTTTCCAGTCAGTTAGGATGACGCCTGTCTCCCAAACGGAAGCAAAGATTCCCTGCTATGCCAGGAGGACAGTTTTACCACCAGCCTGGAGAAGTTCAT